TTTTTTTTTTTTTTTTAACCTGAGATTATTGCTGTAATATTCTTTCCAAAGCCTCATGCTGCATGGGCTGACTCTGTATTTCATAGCCCAGGTGTCTGGAGGCCCTTTTCCTTTTAACTCTGCAAGTCCAGGTCCTTTTTGCAATTCTCTCAACGTAATACTTTTCTCCACTGAAGATCCGGGAGTTCTAGTAACTACATGCAATGTCCTTCTGCTGTTACAAAATCTTGAAGGTTTTCCATCCTTCCAGTGATCAAGTGATGTTGGTAGCCGAGCTACTCAATGTTGTCATTTTGCATGTTTGCTTGAGACCGCTTGGTCTTTTGATGATGCATTTACTTCAGCATCCAGAACTTTGGTTGGGCGTCTACCAAAGACGGTAGTGCCTGCTTTGGTAGGCGCTTCTTGACTGATAAAATTCTGACATCATTTACAAAGTGGTGCTGTGTTGGTATAGAATGGTGCCTATTTTTGAAGGTTATTTTCTACTAAGCAGCTTTCAGATATGAAATCTTCAGGTAGCTTTTTTCCTCATGCAGATGGTGCTCTAACAAATAACAACCTTAATTTTGGAGCTAGTTTACCTGTTTATTTAAGAACAGAGTGCAAAGCTCACCCTTATGTAAAAGACTTGACCTACTGTGATTAAGCAAAGTAAAAAAACCCACCAAACCAAACAAAAAACCCTTAATATCTCATATCAAGAACATTTTGTTTGCTTGCAAGTAGCCTTATGCTTCTTCTTTTGTTTGTATTAATTTGTTAATCTAGACGAGTTGAAGACCAAAGTCAGTGCACTTTTTCTTTGTCTTGGAAAGGACGCCACTCTTTACCCAATCCCCATTTTTGTTTCTAATCATGTATTCTAATTAAGCTAATTGCCTTGATGACAAGTAATTTAAAAACACTGAAATGGCAACTTTAAAATCTACATTATCCATTTAGAAATATAGAATTGTATTGTCAGACAGTAGAGTTGTATCATAGAATTTTATTCTGGATTCCAAGGGTTGAAGGGAAAATGATTCATGCTTGTAATATTTATGACATACTAACATTTTTTTAAATGTAAATAGTGTAATATATAAATCAAAATGTGCTCTCCTGCTTTTGCTTCAGTCAATTGAGTACTTTAATTTTGTTCTTGTTGAAAATGATGTTACGAAAGATGAAGATACTGTATCTTTGTACACTCTCTTGCCTCATTTACCTAGAGTGCTGTTCTTGCAGGAAGGATTTAAAATTTGTCAGTGACATTGAGAAGGAAATGAGAATGCTCGTGGAAGCTGTGAATAAGGTCAGTGTTTCTGTATGATTTACTATAAAAAACAATTTTATTTAGTTTGGGGGGAGTTTGTTACTAAACTTTATTAATACTAATAGTTATGAGCTGACACTAGATGCATTTGGGTTCCGATAGAGTGCACAATTTAATTATAAATAGAACAAAATTTTTAGGAGACATGGTAGTTGGTGACAGCCGGGCTTTTTTTAAAGATTCAATATATATACCTTTATATACCGCCTTTATTGTACATACATATGTACACAAGTGTGTACATACATATATATTTTTATATATATGATAACTGCATATATCGATGTATATGCCTATACTAATATCAAACCAAGATATGTAGTAAATACTAAAAAAAAAAAAGGGGCAACCACAGGTCTTGAATTTGCAATATACAATGAATCAGTGACATCAAATATGACAGAACAAAAGAACCAGAGAGCTCAAGACCATCTTCATTGCTTTACTTCTCAGCGGTAACCAACTATTTGCTAAATAACGATCCTACAAAGCAGACAAGTGGTGTCTGTTAAAGAGCATCTACATTGCAGAAGAGAACAAAAAAATGAAAACAAACCAGATGTGGCAATCTTTTCCCTGTCTGACCAAAAGGGAGAATTACCCAGGGGTTAGTTAAGCTTTTATCATGATCAGGATGAATCAGTTAGGCCAACATGACAATTCAGTATCTTGGGGATCAGTTCTGCACCATCCTGCCCCTCAGGCTGTTGGGAATTGCTATTCCATAAGGTACAAGAAGTCCCCAGAAGTCAAATTATATTTCAGAGGGGAAGAGATTTCTTTCTGAACACCAAAGGCAAGTGATACAAGCCTTGAAGCTTGGTATTTGTAAATTATAATGCAAATGCAGATAAGAAAGCATTCTTCTTTCATGAAGTCTTCAGGAGGCAAACCCAACAGTTACCTGAGGAGTTCCATGACAATCTCAATGTTCTGTCCCTAAAAATTCTATATTTAGTTACATATTAACTTTCATAAGGCTGTCAGATTCCTTCTTGAAACGCTTAGATTCCTGATCACCAGTTTTCTGTTTAGACGCCCATTATAGATCTGCATTATTCACATCACTTACAAACTTCCTGTGCTTCTGCACATGAGTCCATTTGGTAACAGTAGATTGACTTGTGCCCTGCTGCATGAGGTTGTAGTTTTTTCACAGAATTGCAGAATGTTTGAGATTTGGAAGGGACCTCTGGAGGTCATCTTGTACAAGCCGCCTGCTCAAGCAGGGCCATCTAGAGCCAGTTGCCCAGGACCATGTCGAGATGGCTTTTGAGTATCTCCAGGGATGGAGACTCCACAACCTCCCTGGGCAACCTGTCCCAGTGCTCAGCCACCCTCACAGTAAAAAAAGTGTTTCCTGATGTTCAGAGGAAACCTCCTGTGTTTCAGGTTGTGCCCATGGCCTCTGGTCCTGTCACTGGGCACCACTGGAAAGAGCCTGGCTCCGTCTTCTTTACACCCTCCCTCCAGGTATTTACAGACATGGATAATATCGCCCCTGAGCCTTCTCTTCTCCAGGATGATCAGTCCCAGCTCTCTCAGCCTTTCCTCAATAGAGACATGCTCCAGTCCCTTCATCACCTTTGTGGCCCTTCACTGGACTCTCTCCCATATGTCCATGTCTCTCTCGTACTGGGGAGCCCAGAACTGGACACAGTACTCCAGGGGTGGCCTCACCAGTGCTGGGTAGAGGGGAAGGGTCACCTCCTTCAACCTGCCGGCAGTACTTGGTCTACCACAGCCCAGGATACTGGTTGCCTCCTCTGCTGCAAGGGCACATCGCTGGCTCGTGTCCAACTTGGTGTCCAGCAGGACCCCCACGTCCTTTTCTGCCAAGCTGGTTTCCATCTGGGTGGCCCCCAGCATATACTGGCGTGCGGGGTTGTTCCTCACCAGGTGCGGGACTTTGCGCTTCTTGCCAAACGTCCCGAGGTTTCTGTCGCTCATTTCTCCACCTCGTCAAGCTCGCGCTGGGTGGCAGCACATCCCTCTGGCCCATCAGCCGCTCCTCCCAACTTTGTGTCATCGGCAAACTCGCTGAGGGTACGCTCTGCCCCACCGTGCAGATCGTTAGTGACGATGTTGAACAGGGCAGGACCCAGTACTGACCTCTGGGGTGCACCACTGGTTACCAGCCTCCAACCAGACTTTGCACTACTGATCACCACCCTCGGGGCCCGGCCGTTCAGCCAGTTTTCGATCCACCTCACCGTCTGCTCACCCAGCCCCGACGGCAACAGCTTGAGGGGCCACGAGGCTTTTATGGGAGACAGTGCCAGAGGCCTTACTGAAGGCTGGGTAGACACCAGCCACTGCTCTCCCCTCATCTACCAGGCCTGCCATTTAATCATGTAAGTTAACCAGGTGGGTCAAGCATGACCTCCCCTTGGTGAAGCCATGCTGCCTACTCCCGAGGAGATTCTTGTCCTTCATGTGCCTGGAAATGGGTTCCATCACCTTCCCAGGGACCGAGGTGAGGCTGACCAGCCTGTAGCTCCACGTGTCCTCCTTGCTCACGTTGAAGATAGGAGTGACAGCACGCGTGGAGGCCATGCTCTGGTTTTCTTTTCCTTCAAAATGGTGGCATGTATGGTGTAAAAGGGAACATGTCCCTTGCACTGTAAAGTTAACCTGTTCTTCTACTCGGTTCTTCTTGCATACCTTTTATTTCTGGAAGTCTCAGAGGCTTTATTTTCTCCCTTGTAAGAGTCATGTTTCATCTTGCAACCCACAGGTATTTACGTTGTCTTGGGCATGTCTCCATACCTGGTAGGTGTTATCAGTGTTGCTCATTCAGGCCTGTGTCCAACCTGACCAAGTCAACTTCCCCTTTTTATGTAGCCAAAGATTGGATTAATATGTTTGACATGGCATTATGCAAGGAGACTGTTTTTAATTGTTCTGCCATGATCCCCAAGTCCTCTTTATGCTTGAGTCTGTGTTCAGTTGTTTATCATGACTCCTAAATCCTTTCTGACTAAAGATTTGGCTTATTTTCTTTGTTTCTAGATGTAGAGCTTTACTTACTTGTGTTAAAAGTATTTTGCGTGCTAGTCTATCAAGTGTTCAGGTATCTTTGCCTGCATCAGTACTATGTCTTTCATACCGATTACTGTTACTTATCCCTACACGTTTCACTTTGACTTTTTTTTTGCACTGTGCCTTTGGAGATACCAGCTTCAGCTTAACTGAATAAATAAGTAATAAAAAGGATTTTGATATTTAAAAGTTTTAGCATTAATATGGTTCAGCTGTTATCTATCATATGACTTTGCTTCATCAACATCTGTTCCCCTAGACTCGTCAGTATGTATTCATCTATCATAGCAGTGTTGTCATCGTTGATATATGTAAGCAGACAAGACAGGAAACATTTATGCATCCAGCTCTGTCTGCATATGGACAGGGATTCTGATGTTTTTCTCAGCATGGAACTATCACCACTTTTTTTAAAGCAAGCATTACTAGTTATCATAAATAGGTACAGGATCTGTAGAGTTTTCTTCATTCACGTGCTTGTCTATATGCTGGAAGTGGTCTAATAGGTGGGAGGTTTATTACTGTTTATTGCTAAGTAAAGATTATATCCTGACAGCATGTGATTACTCTGAAGACTTGTGGAAATGATTGACCACAGTTTTTGGTCCAGTTACTATTTGTAACTTAGCTATTTTACAATCTAAGAGGAAACAGATATTAACCCTCTATTTACAAGATACACATTGTAGCTATCTTCTCTATTACATGTGGTGGTCTTTACATTAATTTAGGTGCCTGACCATTTGTAAATCCACATTGACTACTCCCAGGGCCCTTCTCCTTTATGTACCTAAAAATGGCTTCCAAAAGGGCTTGCTTTATGATTTCTTTCCCATACTTTGAAGTGTAGCTGATCAACCTGTTGTTCTTGGGTTGTTTTTTTTGTTTGGGTTTTGGTTTTTTCTTAACATAGTTGCAGCAATTACCTTTCTCTAGTCATTGGGTTCCTACCCCATTCTCTACAATTTTTCATAGATGATGGAGAGTTGGGACATCATCCTGGTCTCTCAGCACCCTTAAATGCACTGCCTGCAGTCCCAGGAACTTGTATAGGTTGGAATTTCCCTAGAAATCCCTGACTCAGACTTACTCTACTATTGGTAGTTTGTCTTTCCCTTGAACCCTGTCTGTAGACCCGAAGACCTAGAAGACTTTGTTGGTGACAACCAAGGGAAAAGCTGAAGCAGTGTCTTGAGTCCCTGGAGCATACTGAAGCACTGAGTGTCTCATGCTTATCTGCCTTTGCTGTTACAAAGTCACCCAACCTATTAGGACTGGGCTCATAGGGCCCTATTTTCATTTGTTCTTTTACTGTTTATATAGCAATCGGTGTCAAATCAAGCATTATCAGTCTTTGTTAACTGAAATTAAAACTACAATTTTGTTTTCATTTAATAAAAAGTCTGTTGATGCCATTACATGACAGATTTTGCAGATAAATAGCTTCCTTGGTAGAGGGAAGCGATATGTAATTCTGACACCTTCGTAGCTGTCTGCAATATGTGCATTGCAAAGCCAGTCTGAAAAATAAAATTAGATCTGATTCAAAATTGGCATATTAAAATGGTGAAGATATTAAAATGCTTCTTTGGGGTGTAAGTAGCATGGATACGTTCAGGATTTGTATTTCAAACTTAAAAGATATGTGTGTGTATACTTTGAGGTGATGGAAACAATAGAGAACACATAATTTAATTTTTGGGAAATAAATGGGCATTTTTAGGTGAGTTTTCTGTCAGTACTGAGGTATTAGCTATTTGTGTACTAACTTTGTCATAGCACCAAAATTTTAGAGGTAGAAGCACTGTCTGTCTGTCTTTTTTTTTTTTTTTTTCCCTTCCCCTGCCTGCCCCCCGTCCCGAAGGAGAACTTTACTTTTTTTTAACCTTTTCTCTTGAATTCAGGGCAAGCATACAAAGAAGAGCCATTGTTACCCACCAATGAACAGAGATCATCGCAGAATCATCCATGAATTAGCTCAGGTTTATGGCATTGAAAGTGTGAGCTATGACAACGAACCAAAGCGTAATGTTGTTATCACTGCAGTGAAGTAAGTAAGTCATTATTGTTTTCAAATCTATTAACTATAGTTTAAATAATTTGATGTTTTTATCACTTATTCAAATGGGTTTATTTACAGTCCAATTCGCAACATGCAGTAAGTTCCGGCAGAAATTTTTTTTAAAGCTGTTTTTAATTTGATAATTTCATAGGCTTCTATTTCCACTAGTCAAGTAAATCTTCAGAGAAGAAAACCCAATTAGAAACAAAAAAGCTAAGTAAAGGTTTTGCAAGGCTGTTTTCTGTTCATCTTAGCAGTAACTTTTTTTCTTTTTGCCATCAGCTAAATTTGATAGAGGTATCAAAGATAATAAATGTCATAAAATTTTATGAAAACTAATTGCCGGATTGAAAAGTCATACCTAAATTAGCACCTTTGAAAAAATCTGGTTATTGGAACTTACTTGTTCTCAATCTATCTGAACCTGCCACAGAGCATACTCCCTCTTTATTTAATGGACAAAGAGGGAGCTGGAATTACTGCAAATTGAAGAGATTTCTAAGCAAAACTGGAAATATTTGGAGAAGACCCATAGAAGGCAGTTCATATTAGAGAAGGAAAAGACGACAATATAGCTGGGGGAAAAGCAAGGTGATTGTACTGGAGACAGAGTATGGGAAGGCTTCCCAAATCAGGTATCAGGGCTTCCTTGATACTGCTGCTCACTGAGCAGCATATTTAGTTTAGCAATGTCAAATTGTGGTTCTCTGACAACCATTTGTTTTTAACTGTAGATATTGACTGTATTTATAAAAAAGCCTGTTACCTTCTGTGCTACTAAAGTGCGATGAGCTGTTCTTGAGCCTGTTCATGGGTTGGTAGCTTAGCTGCAATCTTGATTTCTTCTAAGGGAGATGGAACACCACTTCGATACCCCTTTCTGTTTCTGTGAAATAATTTAAGATACTGTCTTTGTTTCTATTAAAAGAAGGTGAGAAAAGAGATTGTATTTGAAAAAGCTTATTTAAGAAAAAGAAATAGATGGGGGGGATGAGAAATTAGTGAAGAGGATAAAGTGTCAGAGAAAGAAGCAGGACAAATGACCATGCTTTAGAAACAAAGATGTATCCTGCAACTTGACAATGGGAGGCCTTCCTCTGTGATTTTAGGAGAGATTGCACACCTGTTCCTTCCCTTGTGGTGTTCAGGGAACAGCATACAGTGCAGAACGCACATGCTGCTATTTCACCCCTGCCACTCTTACAGACATGGAGTGGTCTACTAGGAATGTTCTTCGGCCGTGTAGCGATGTTTCCTATTTCAGTGGATTTATCCAAAGCTTCTTTTCATTGTTTTTATCTGCCACTTCTTAAAGACATAAAAAAAAATTGAAGCCTCAGACGAGTGACAGCTCAAGTTTCAGGATGATATTTTTGAGTATTTCACAATGGCTTCTTGAAGTCCAGGTGCTAGTAGTCACCAGAAAGTCCAAATGGTTAGATTCATTTTGTTTCATCCTGTTCTCAGCGTTCCCCTTGGATTTCTATTTTGGGCTCCTCTGAGTAGAGATAACTCAAAATGATGCTAGGCAAAGAGACCATTCATTCTTCCTCTTCACGCTCCCCCGTTGTGTCACTGAAATGGTAACATTGCCGTACAGGTTGGTCAGAGGAGTGAGAAAGTCTCCTTAGTGCTAAGAAAGCTTCCTCCAACCGGATTTCTTCCTCTTCCGGATATCTAGGAGGAAACACCACACATCTGCTTTGCCCTCAGCCCCTGCCCCATCATCATTCCACCACATCAGTAAGAGCTGGTCATATTGGCTGCATTAGAATCACGGATGTACAGTGCTGCCAATGTCTAACCACACAGAGAGCACTCCCAGTATTGACTGTCAAGGTTGACCTGAATGACAGTTCTGGTGTTATTTGAAGTATAAGACCCTGAGTGAGTCCTTGCAAGTGCCCTTCTGTGCTTCCCTGTTGGTCATCTTTGCAGTCACCATCTTTTGAGCAGTTGCAATACCAGATTTCTTCTGAACCAGGTTCAAAGATAGTGTCGAGACTGGTATGGTGAAAAGGGGAAGGCTTTCCTCTCCAAGTTTACACATGCGCTTCACTGTACCTGTCAGTGGTTTCCTGAAATCTTTTACTCATACGAATTTCTTCTTCTTAGGAATAACTCTGGATGCCAGAGCCTGAAGGGGTGTCTGCTGCTTGTTATGTAGTGACCAGCGTTTAAGCAACTTCTATGGACTTTAGATACCCTGGAAGTGTTTTTGAGAGCAGTCATCCCTGTAAGACCCAGCCTTTTCCTGTTCCTTCCAGGAAGAACAATAGGGTCAGTCTCTCCTCACAAACAAGGGGACTTTTCAGGAAGGTGACAGGGTCCCTGCCCATTGTTCTCACTGAGAAAACCACATCCTGCCACAGTCTCATTGACATGTTCTCCATTATTCTTCTTCACTCAGGATTTTTTTTCCTTTCAATGAAGTCAGTCTGAAGACAGTTCAGGAGTGGTTACCTAGCTGCAGGCTACGCAGGACCAGCAGGAACAAAGACCTAAAGAAATTAAACCCCCTGTAACTCCATGGAATGCCCTTATCAGATCATGGCAGCTGGATCACAGAAGGCAAAAACCGTACATCCCAGTAGCAGGGTTGAAAGGAAATTATGTGTTCTGAGGAAACAGAATTATTCTTTGGCTTCTTTAAGTTTTTCTGGGCACATTTCAGCACTTGATCTCCAGGTGCAAGTTCATTTTACTTAAGTTAACTGTCTCTCCAGCCTTTCTGGTATCTGGAATAACTTCACTTCCAATTTGACAGAAGTTCCAATGACTTCCTGAAGGTACTCAATCACTTTAAGGACCTTTAGTTTACTTTTCACTCTCTAGGAATTTTCTCCTCTGCCATGAGGAAAAAGCTAACTTTCTCCCCACCCCCTTTGCAATCACAAAGGCCTTTTCTAGTGACTGCATCTCAACACCTCTGACCTCTTAAGGTTTTTTGAGCAATTTAAGCACAAATAATGCTACAGATCACCAGGTGTGGTGGTTTTAACAGCAGTCCTGCTCCAGAAAAGAGCTACATCTCTTTCTTACTATTTTTCCTTCAATCTTGACATTGTTTGCCCTGACAGTACTATGTGTTGCCTCTTCACATAGGATATACGAAGTCTAGACAATCAGGAGATTGTTTGAGACCCACTTGCTTCATTATTCCACCCGAAGTATCAGCTTTTGGAGACACTTCTTACAAAAACCTGCTCTGTCTGAAAGCTGATGAATCATTATTGCAAGGCTACATGGAGTCAGTTCTGGACAGATCAACGGGCAAAGAATTTTGTAGTAGTTCGTACCAAAACAGTTCAATGCTGATCCATCCTGGAGTTATGAAAATTGAACTTCAGGAGAAGATAGTTTGAGTCCTGGTTTCCACAGTTCAGTTGTATACAACAGGCTGTCCTGTCGGCACTACCAGTGCCTTATAGTCAGCAGGTAGTTTTTTATTTCTCCTTGTTTTTCCCTGGAGCGCTGCTAAAAACTTGTCATCTCATCTTTGTTACTTGGGACAGGCAGTTGTCTTTTTTCCTTTCTTTGAGAATAAGATAATAGAATGAAGAATGGCAACTTTCATATCAAAATGTCCAGAGTACTTGCAGAGCCTTTTGGTTCCATCTCCACAGTTCTGTTACAACTGACGATAGATAACTGTGATTTACGTTAGCAGGAAGGGAGGGTTTGCTTGTTTTCTTCTTTCTGGCAATTAGTTAGTCAAGGGGTTTTTTTCCATTGTACACCTATTTAGTTCAGTTGTTTGGTTTTCTTCCAGATGAGCTGAATATGACTGGCTGTTTTGGTTTGTTTGTGTATTTGGTTTTTTCTTTTTTTCTAACCAGTGAATAGAAATATTCACAGAATTTTGGGGAGATTGGAGTCAGTCCAGTATTGTCCTGTGTTGTCACCAAGGTATACAGGAAGTGCTGTACATTTTGCTTGAGTGTGAGTTGATAGATTTTTGTCTCTAAAGCCTCTGTGGTTTCATGGCTGCATGGTCTGCTGTATATCTCTTCTGGGTTTTTATTTTTGGAGGGACACTAAATCTTGTCAAAGCAGAAACAGGGCTAGGCCTTGATGTGACCAAAGCAAATTTTGGTTCCAGGATCTCCTTCAACTGTCCTCAAGGCTTTGGTCCCTCCTTATTTTTAAAGGTTTGATATATTAACACTCTACATCCTGAGAACACTTCACTTCAGAGCAGAGCTGCTATATTTACTTTCCTGGAATGAGGAAACATTCTCTCTCTCCTTTTTTTTTTTTTTCTTTTTTTAGTGAATTGTAGAAATACGTGCATATGTACTCTTCCAAGTGTTCTGTTTTCCTACATTCCAGAACATTCATTTATTTTCTTTTTTTTAACTACACAAGCAAGATTTAGCCTGACATTCTGAAGACAGACACCTTACTTTACTTGGTGAAGGCCTTTCTAGCCTATTTTTCACCTATTTACCTCCAGTCAATTGGGTTCCCATGTTTTTGCACACCACAGTTTATAACAATGAAAGAAGACAACAAAATATTCTCCCATCTACCTTTGTCCTCTTTTAGTCTTTTCAGGTAGAGCTCTACAGTTGAGACTTAACTGAAATGATAATGGGAGCATTTGGCTTTATATGCCAGGCTTGGAGCTAAAGGAGAGGAGGAGTTTTTACCTGTTCTATACAAGACGGGAAAACTAGCTGTTCTCAACTGATAGGATAGTCATATACTTGCTATTAGAATGTACATGTAGACATAATAAATCTTGAAAAAATGGTCAGTGGCAAGTAACTTTTTTTTTTTCAAATAATGAACACTTTCTGTGTTGGGGAGATGGGGACACTTTTTGAATTGGTGACCTATGTTTGCAAGATTTTGCAGTTCATTTGAACAGATGGTCAGTACTCACTTCGAAACAATACTGAAATGGGGTCAGGGATCCTCATTTCGTATTTTAGTGGACTTACCTTGAGAATGTTGTGGATTTTTTCATCTGCGTTGCCACAATATCACGGGTATTGGCCATTATATTTTCAGAGCTGATGGAAACAAGACATAATGGAAATAAGACAAATATGATGGAAATAAGATGAATACTTAATTTTTTTTAAGCTCTGAAAGAGAACTAGAGTTCATCTGTGTACTGATGTGAGATTTCAACTGCTTAGAGCTCTGAGGGAGGTGGGGAAAAAATATGAATTACTAAGTATGTGAGAAAGCATGGAGCTCTTAACACATGCAAATTTCTGGACTCATAACAATATACAAGCCATCATTTTGCAGCATTTTTTGCTATTCAAAATGTAATTTTGAAAGGAAGATGATGAACTTGAAAGTAGGAATTTGATGTGATTAGTAAACACAGAGAATCTCATGCTCTAAAGGACTCTGCTCTGGCAGGAGTTTATTTAAAAATTCATGAATAAAATAAATGAGGAAACATTATTTAGTGATTGACATAGAATCATAGAATCATTTAGGTTGGAAAAGGCCCTTAAGATCGAGTTCAACTGTAAAACTAACACTACCAAGTCCACCACTAAACCATGTCCCTAAGCACCACATCTACATGTCTTTTAAATACCTCCAGGGATGGTGACTCAGCCGCTTCCCTGGGCAGCCTGTTCCAGTGCCTGACAACCCTTCTGGTGAAGAAATTTTTCCTAATATCCAATATAAACCATTCGGATAGAAATACGAAAGCAATGCAGTTTAGTGTACCAGAAGTAGTTCCGTCTTAAAATGTCAGTAGCATGGGTTTAGAGGAAAGTGCAAAGACGGGTAAGACCTTGATAGGGTTTAGGAATTTTAATTTATTCAGCTTATTCACCCCCAGAAAAGATGAAGAAGAAACTGTTAATGGAAAAGGTGTTGATAGTGGAAGGTTTTGTGAGTCTTGCAGTTAAATCGTAACAGTGACTGGAAATTAAAATAAAGCAAGACCACTCTTGAAAGTGGCTCATGAATTTAGAAGAAATTTTAAGACATCTCCACAGCCTATTAGAGGTATAGTGTGTTTGGCAATTATTTGGAGATTTTTATTCTTTTTATTGGGTGCCTTTTTGGAACAATCCTTCCAGGTTTTTTTTCTTTTTTTTGTTTGGTTTTGGCTTTGTTTTCTTTTTTATATCACTCCTCTTTCTCCAGCCAGTCCAGCCTTTGGGCGTGGACTGCCATACTGAAGTTGAGCGTGATTCCCAGCCAATATATGCTTAAAGCATATAAATGTATGTGCTTAAGTACACTGTCCTCCTGTATTGGAGAAAATACTGCCCTGCACCACAGCAACCGGGTGGCCCTTGCGTTGCAGATGGGACAAGCACAAGTGGGATGCTTCATCGTGTGGTCGTGATCACATAATAGATTGTAACTAGTGTGGAGGGCAGGAAGAGCTGATTTTTTTTCCATGTTATTTTATTCCCCCCTTCCCACTCCCCAATGCATAATGTTATTTTTCTGATCTTGTTCACCTAGGCTAGCTGACAAGGAAGAGGCAGTGTTGCTGCACTGTTCCTGGGAGAGTACTGCTTAGCAGGGCTACTTTGGGTGCAGAGTGATAAACAAGTTTAACGTGACTTACTGCCAGAGTTTAAGAACATGTTTCCAAAACAGTAGATAACATGCTACGAAGATGCAGTGAATGGTGTTCACATGATGCCAAGTTAAGCTGTTAAGTTGTTGCTTTTGATCTTCTATCTGTTCGGTGAAAGCTATATGTTGCCCTAGAATGCAAGTATTGAGTTTTTGGTATTATAGCAGCTAATCGTGTTGTGTACCTCATAGTAGAAAGGAGTTGGGCACTTCACATGCAGAAAGGAAAGGGTCTGGGGACCAACAGTCAAATCTAGTAAGCTGCTTCTGCATCTTTTATAGACAGTGATCAAGAGACATTTAGAATACTGGATATCTTGTTCTTGGTAATGAAAATGGACTTTGCACGCTATTGGTCTCCATGGTTGGAAAATTAAATATTTGAATAGATGATTTAAGTATACAAGTATGAACTCTGACACCAGAACTGCTACTTACAAATGTAATTATTTTGCCTTAACTTCTTAATGAATGTAATTTCCTATTAAATTAAATAACCTTTCTTTTATTTCTCTAGAGGAAAATCCATTTGTCCAAGCAATACCTTAACTTCTGTGCTAGATAAGGAAATGCAGAGCAGGCCTCCACCTCCTATTCCTCATTACAAACAAACAGATAAGTAAGGAATTTATTTTTAAAACAGTATTCTTCAATTCTGTGCTTAGTTACCTGAGGAGAGTGTTCAGAACTTCAACTTTATACTCCCTGTTCCTTTGTTTTCCCAACCCACACACAGCTTTGGAGCTTGCAGCCTGCACTAAGATTTTTCTTTCCACAGAAGTAAACCTCAGATGAACTGCTAAGAAAATGTAGGATTGACTATGTGGTAAAAGAGTAGTAATATAACAAATATTGTGGCCTTTTAAAATTTTTTTTAATAAAGATTAGATAGTTGGGAAGAAATGGCTGTTTTGGAGGGTTTGGGATGTTTTTTACCTTTAACTGTTTTGTGTGAAACAGTAATGTCTTACTGGCATAAAATGATTTATTTGGAAGGATAGTAAACGTGTTTTTCTTGTGTAGATAAATGACTACACAGTTGGCTAAAGGTGAACTGCCATTTTTCTCAGTGAAAACCATTGAAGATGGGATATATAAGGCTTCTTGGTGAATAGTCTAATAGAACAATCTTTACTTGGTATGACCTGCCAGCTTCATGTACCTGTAGTCATCTCATAGTTATGAATTTTTTAATGGATGGCTTATTCTTTGTTCAGGTTTACCTTTCAGAATTTTTTTCCCCCAAGTTATTTCCAAATTAGCATTCGAAATCATGTTCTGTAAAGTACTGTTTGCAGAAAGGGACAGCTTAATTTTGCAGTAACTATTGCAGTTGCTATTGGGTGTTTAAGTTGCTGCTGGGATATGAAGAGAAAATTTAAATTGTTTCTGAACTAAGCATCTAGAGCAAAACATGTTTAAAATGACTGCTTATGGTATAACTCGAGATGAATTTTAAAACGGTTGTTACTCTTTATTTCCACTTATTTCAGTGGGATTCCTGTCTTCAGTGACCCTAATAAAAGAGGGCTATGTGGCAAAATTAAATTAAAAAAGGGCTTTAGCCATTTATTTTTAATTACTAGAAGTGAAATCTCTTCAGAAGTGCTTAATTCTACAAAATCTTCTGGAAGATCTCATACTGTCTTATGGAAAAAGTCTTTACAGTGTTTGGATTTGGTATTACCGTATATTTTTTTGTTACTCTTTGATCTTAAAACTGAGCAGATTTCACCATCGGCACTTCAAGAGTATTTCTTTTGCTCGTTCTTTTAAAAATGTTGAACATTTAGACTTCAGTACAGTATCATTTTTGTAACAAATATTACCAGTAAATGGTATTTTGTAGTAAAACCCCCAAACAAATTGTATCGATTCAGCCACACACTGACATACATTAATACAGTATATTTTTTTTCCAAAAATGAGTTAACAAAGGCTTTCTGGAGCATTAAGATACTTCCATTAAAACATGATTTAGAAATGCATGCCATTTACCGATGCAGTGTGCAAGTACACACTGAGACATTAGGAGAGCTTGTGATTTCAGTTTACTTTGTGTCTTGTTTTTCATGCAGGTGAGTAACATCTAATATTCTTATAATTTCAGGAGTAGTGGAAACAGTGGTTTATCCAAACCATTAAAAGAAGAGCCAGTAATTGACTACTTTGATGTCCAGGACTGAAGTGATTGATGTAGAATTACGATATAGAAGCTTAGAGGTGAAGATACTAAGTTATTGTGTGAGGCACTTTTTGGGTATCTGTCAAATGATCAGTTGTTCAGCATATTCATGATTTAAGATCTAAAGTTAGATTGATTATGATACTTTAAAAAGTTATGCATTTTTACAGTTTATGTAACTGCATAATACCTAACAGTAGTATAGCTTTTTAAACCTGGGTTTGGTGCAATTTTTTATCTAATGTGCTGTCAGAATGATGTAGATTTTCCACTGATGCCTTTAAAGTGAGAGAACTGGTAATCAAATATATTTTTGGGGGTAGTAAGAACAACGATAAATCTCAAAGATTTATTTTGACATATCTCAACTTAAAATGGACCAGAAATAATCTGTGTTAAAAATGCTGATGGGAATATTTTTAGTGTTTTCATATTTTATTAATTCACTTTTGTGTTAACATGGTAAATTTGGGAGTTTGAGTTACTCTTCTACATGGAAGGAAATAACAAAATTTAGCCTAAGTATGAATATATACACTAAATGCCCATTAAGAGCACAGACTTCCTTTGGTATCTGAAGAACCAGGATTTGGGAAAGGTGGGGAATTAAGACTTATTTTGCTTTATCTCAAATTTGATGTGTTTACAAAAAAAAAAACAAAAAAAAAACACACACAAAACCCACCCCCCAAAAAACCAACATAAAATTATTAATACTTTGTTATTCAAGACCTTGAACAACATCAGACTTTATATATTATTTTGGTGTTCTATTTGGTTTAATTTGTATTTAGATATGCTAGCTTGATGGTCTTCTGGGGTTTTTTTTTGCATGGCTTTATTGGGGGTTTATAATCTTTTCTGTACTGTGCAAGCTTAAGGTGAATGTGTGAAGTTTGGTTTACGTATGTTATGAATTTGGAACAATATTTGTAAAACTTATAAGACCATCTGTCTAAACTGTTTGGCAATGGAAGATCTCTGTTTTATGGGAAATGCCATAAACAAAATGGGATGATGGCTTAAACAGTGAAAGGCACCAAACTGGTCTCAGATGGTGAATTATTTCCAGATGATGAGTTAAGGTAGGTGAGTAGCTCTCTGGGAGGGGAGATTGTAGGTCTGATCAGAAGTGGCACGGCTCTGAATTTGAGTAATATTTGTCCACTTGGGGAGAAAGTTTTTTGAATTAGCTTTAGTAACTCTGACACTGACGCACCATTTCTTGTTCCTTGTGGCTGGCTACACGTAGCGCTAGAGGTGCATCCCCTGCACAGCATCAGAGGCTGCTGCTGAAAGGGGCTGAGCATAATGAAGAAAGAGATCTAGCAGAAGACTTGTCATCTGTTGTTGATTTATTTTTTAGCCAGCTCACTATGGTGGAGTGTGAGATTTGTTGCCAAGAAAATGGAAAGCAGTTATCCACACTTAGATTCACTTACAGTTATCACATGACCCTGAGCCTTATCTGTGAAGCATTCTGTGGCGACGTTTCATCTTGAACAGCTTGTGAAACCTGAAAGAATAAGTGGCAAATTCACAGACCATGTCTGTCCCCAAAAATGTTTTGAAAATTAAAATGCATGCTGTTACTACCTCTTTTTGTAGGAGCTTATTATTTCACATTAAAAAAAAAAAAGGCAGTCTTAAATGTTTCTAAACATTCGAAATGCATATGCTTCCGGCAAAACAGTTACCAGAAGGATTCTCAACCCTCAGGAGCGTTCAGGCTTTTAATTTGCATGTAGTGGTTTAAATTGGTTTTACCTTTTCTGTCTAATATTTTGTGAACAGAACTGAAAAATAAACATACATAGCTTATATTGCCCTTAATTTCTTAAGCAAATCAGTGTTTGATTCTACAAGGTGTACTGCTTTGCTAAGTTCAGCTAAGAAATAAGTTGCTCGGCATCTTTCCATGAATGTATTTCTTCAATCCCTTCATTGTGAGGAGTGCATCTATTGCAGTGCTTGCAGACAAGGGGCAGCTCAGTGTGGCCAAAGGCTAATTCTGGTTTTGAAACTCAGAGCTATGTGCAGATAGCACTGTTTTCCAGCTTGTAACGCCCGTCAGGGAGAACGTACGTAGTTACACTGCAAAGGTGGGTTCTGGACAGGAGCTGGCACACACGTCCGGTGAGCTGAGAGTATAAAGTTAGATGCACATACACTGGAGCACGTGCAGTTGTTATACTGTGGGCAGGCCTAACGTTACAGATAATAAATAGAATAAAGCTGAAGCCTACTAACTTTTCACACAGTTTCACATGAATATAGCTAAAACTTCACACTTGCACCTCTGATTTGAAATTTAAAACGTAAAAGGTTAATAGCATTATATTTAGCTTTGCTCTTTGGAAATTTTATCAGATTATGGCTTTAACATAAAAATGTGAACCTTGGTGAGATGCACTTCAGCAGTCAAGTATTCTGCCACTGGTTTTAATACGAAAGCCCAGGTAATCTTCAGCTTCTCAAGATGAGACTAATAATTATTACTGAAGCTGTCCATACTGAGAAGTCATAATTCTCATAACTAAACCTCTTAACTACATGAATATTAAAACATTTTTATAGATCTGTACTTTACACATCTGTACATCATGGCTCTTGGAGCATATCTGTAGTTACGAAGCAAGTCACATGTACAGAAACATTTATTTTTAAATACATTTTAAGAACTTGGTTAAAAACATGATACCATACATTTACCCAGGAAAGTAATACCAAAAAGAAAGTATTGATGTCTTTCTTCCCAGAACACAGTTACATAGCCTTAAGAAGGAACTCAGCAAAGTTTAACAGTGGTGCTCTCCTCTCTGTTCTGGTTTGCTTTTGCTGCAATGTATCTGTGACTTTCATATGGAATAGTACTAAAGGCTGTAGTTTTGATATCTGTGATAACTCATCTTCATATTGCACGTGTGCCTCATGGAAATATTTTTCAAATAGCTATTTTGTAAATCTGAGCTGGCCTTTACACCTTTTATCTAATAGAAAAATGAGTGGATAAAAAAAAATCTTTGCATCAGTGAAGTCAGTGGCAAAAATCCTTTTGACATCACTGGAACCAAGACTTAAGCTTTGACATGCTAGTTGTTTTCCACAGCCCTAAGAATAATATTGTTTCTTGTAAATTTATTTGAAAAAAGTACTCTGCAATAAGCATCTTCAGAAATAAATTATGTGATGTCAGTTGGAATTCATGCAACTTCATGAAGTGCTTTTAAAATTGTGTATGAACTAAGCAGATACTTTGGCATTTGGGCTGTGCTATTGCCTATCTGTATTGTTTAATATGTTTAAAGTGCTCTGAATATTCAGTGCTTGGGTTTAACCTAAAATTGTGTAAGATGCGTAAGTAGACTTCAATACCACTGTTTTTTGTGGCAGTTTTGTACAGTATCTGCCACATAATGAAATAAGCAAAGTAAAATTGTTCTAAAACACTTAAGAATAAGTTATTTGTTGAAAGTTTTATATTTTACTTGATTTTTTTTCAAGTTACTGGTATAAAATTACTTTCTATATAAACCTGAAATAAATCTAAGTTGACAGTTCAGTGCTTTGGAATTGTTCGCAAGTTTTGTCTTGGTATTCCAAAGTTGGAAGACTGACATATCACAGAGAAACAATATAGATTTACATGGAAGTTTGGGGAGTCCTTTTCCTCAAATTTTGAAATATGAGCTGTGATTTCCTGGATTTGAAGTGATTTTAAATGAATGCTGTAAGGAGAGTGAAGCAAGCACAGAGGGACTCCCCAGGAAATGGAGGGTAAGGATTATCTGCTACCTTTCTGGGATTCAGAAGTACAGGAGAAATGATGATCTGAATAGAAATGTACATTTTCGTTATCTGAAAAACCCTACACTATGTCAGCCTAAATGCTACTTGGCAATAAAATGTATGATTTTAGCTCATTGTCCCTTCATTGTTGTTTGCCCACCATTCAGTTGTAATGGTGACCGTAAAGAAGAGCGGTATGGGGCAGGGGCGGCGGGAGGCAGGGGGGAAGTGAGGACTTATGCCACTTAAAAGTCCCCGTGGGCACTGGATTTGAGAAATACAGGATGATGGATGTTGGGGTGGGGGGTGAAAACTTTGCCAACACAGCTCAGTAGATGGCAGGGAGACTCAAAAAGCAAACAGTCCCAAAATCAGAAGTTCGAAATTATTTGAAGTGCTTCCTCCTGAAACTTTTGTAACAGCAAGTAAGGCATCTCCAGCGGCAAAAGCCACAGAAATGAAAAATAGCAGCAAAAAATTGCAGCGGCCTGATCTGATATTTCAGATGGAGTGCAAGATGGCTCAAAGACATTCAAGAAGTGATCTGAGATTGAAGAGTTCTTTAAGGGCAGCTGAAAGCCTTTTGTCTTACTACTTCAACTGCCAGTAAGTTTGGACTTTCTTTTCAGGATATTTTGGAGGATGAAGATGGCATGTTGCAGGTATACAAGCATTGCAAAACAGATCTTAGTTGGAAACCTCTGCCTGAAAAAAATACTTGCGCTTTAGTTGAGGACTGTCATTGACTAGAAGGTGACCAAACGTCATTGTTATCAGTGTGCGCATATGGCAGCAGAAGAGACAAATCAGTTTTGCTTTCTGTTCACTGATCTTGTTCATGTTTGGAAATAGTCATTCCAGTCGTGACATGGTCACAACAGTCCCCTAGTAGGTTAAAAAAAAAACAGTGCTTAGATAGATACTACTGTTCAAATAGTGTTGGGTTTTGAGTATTTTAGATTTCGTAGATGCTGAATTCCCAGCAGAAGCCTTGCTACTCAACAAATGCTGCTTTCGTCCTTTACTAAGATGCTGAATTCCTAAGATGGTTGGTGTGCAAATTTTTATGTCTATATACTTGTCATTTAACCATGAACCCGAATGCCAGAGACATTAGAAAGGGTATCTCTCGAAAGGCTGTATTTTGGATGCTCCTCAGCTCTCAACAGGTTTGTTAGTCTTTGTCATCCCAGGATTTTTGGTGGAAGTAGTGCAGCTTCTGGGGCAGAGGGAAGGAGACCAGGTTGCTGCTATCCTGGGACCCAGGTCCCAGAAGGATCCTGGGAATCCTTTGGTGATAACAGGACCCTGTTGCAGGTAGCAACACGTGGATCCTTTTTGCTTCCAGCCAAAGGATGGGTGAGTGTGCCGTTACGTTCAGTGGGTGAAGTCTGCTGCTGAATGTGCTTTGTTTCATTCTGGAGTAGCGCGGCGGTGCCTTTCTACAGCCCGGGCTTACGTCTTGTTCTGCCACCCCATGAGCTACTGTTTGCAGCACCGTCTGTTGTTTGTTTTTTTTTTAATTCAGGGTGTCCAATTTTACACTTCTGTGGAAAATGCAGGTCTCTTTCACAATAGAAGATGTTTTTTGCCACTGAAAGAATCTTCAGAGCACCCACCAAGGCGTAGCACCTTTCTCATGTTCCAGGCGCTCCTCTATAAATTGGTTTTGGTGCCGTCACTGTATGACCTACTGCTGCCTGCTCTGGAGCTCCTTCCAGTGAGAGGAAGGAGGGGCAAAACGTGGCTGTTGTGTGGAAATCTGCTTTGCTTGCCCCTCACAACTTTACTTTCTGTGACGTCATGCCCAGGAACTGCCACCTAGTAAATGATTCAGCTTTCTACTGGATCTAATGCGTGCTTATTCCAGTTCTTTATTCCATTAATGTGCAGGAAATTTATTCTGGTTGGAGGACTAGAGGGCTTAGTTTGTAAGGAGCTGTAAGAAACTAAACTAAAAATCATGATCACTGTAAACAAACCCTCATCTTAATAGAACACTTTTTATATAGTAGGTAGGAACCAAAGGGCTGTCTCTTTCAAAATTGTGTATATAGGGTAAGCTTACGTGTTTTACTAGGGAGCATTTTTTATAAATCTAAGTTCTAGGAAATAAAAGCTGCAGTGAAAACCGACTAGTGGGCTGTGTTGGATAGCTGCCTACCAAACAATGCAGTCAGGAAGGTACATTCTGTCCATTTAAGGCACCTAGAGAGCTTATCTTTTTTTTAGCAAGCAATTTAAGGGATTTCAGCATTTACTGCTTACCCAGTAAGTTAGATACCTCTTAGTAGGTATTAACAAGTGCTGTTACAGGAAGCATTAATTAAAATCTTCAGTTGGTGCAGTACCTCCTGGGGTAAGTACTCATTTACATTGGTGTTCAAATTCAGTATGTTGGCATCAAATAAATAGGTGTCAAAGTTTCTAATTAAGTATGTGTCTGTGTGACTGCTTAGGAAGGACAGTTCAGCAGCATCAATCAAAGGTTTATGCAATTCTAATTATATTCTATTGAAGTAGGCAGTGATTAAACAGGTATCAGATTGATGCCACTGAAATATCAATGAAATAACTCATTAATGAATTATTATTTAAGGTGTATTTCTGGTAACTTTATTAGGCATTTAAGGAGTGATACATCTTACCTGTTAGCTGGCATCTAAGTACTTACTAAGTATGTAAGTAATGTATTTACTAAGAAGTAGCTGATAAAGCCCCGTATGAAATCAGTGAAATATTTATCCCACGCTTCTCCCATTTTTTCCACTCCTGACTATGAGAAATTATTTTAGTCTTCAG